CTCGGCGCGGCGGGGGGCGAAAGCGGTAACCAAGGGGTGATTAGCGGGACAAAAGCTGGCGCCGCTACAAGTGGAACCAAATTGGTAGAAAATTGATAATCAACCGCCAATATCAACCTCCATTGGGATCCGGCTGGGTTCCTGTGCCCGAGAACAGGCCAAAGGATTACGCGGATATACGTACTTAAGCTTCGAACTACATATTTGCTTCGAGAATAAAAGACTATCGTAAAGATTATCCTAAATACCTATCATTCGGTATCGCTTTATCCGATTTTTCCGAACATTGTTTAGAATATTGTTAGATCGAAGCATCGTTTTTATCGTATTTTATCGTATTTCATCGTATTTTCTTGTATTTTAGGAAAAGCGAGAAGCTGCGGAATAATCTGGGAACGAGAAGAAAAGGAAAAGTTGAAACGCCGAAAGAAAAAGAGTTAAAACGCGTGGAGCGTGAAAGAGAGCGTGTATTCGGTAAGGAGCGAAGAGCGAGCAGACCGGAGCGCTGTGAATGGAACACGTGTACGGTGTCGCATCTATCTGAAAAGTTCATCGTTACAAAGATCTCTCGAAAAGAATTTCCTGGAATGCGAGCTATCTTCGGGACCATGGTGGCGAGTGTGTAATCGAAGGAATCGTAGAGCACTTTTCTCATGCAAATACCCTCGGATGCGAGAGAAGGGACAACCAACTTCTTCTTTGGTCCGCTTAAAACTTCGAACTTGGGTATCCTTTTAAATTTAAATGCTTTCCCCCAGCTCGAGCGCATCCGTGCCCCTGAGTTCCTCTTTCGAACGACATCGTCGCCTCGCCTCGCCTCGATGTCGCCTCGATGTCGCCTCGATATTAAGAAAAATACTAAAATCTACTTGTTCCTCGCGTATTCTATGCACAGGTAAACCGACATTTCCTCTAATATCCTTTTCGATTATTACGTTCCACTGTTCCAGATACGTTTTCGAGTCTCGCGGCCAATCGAATTTGTAGAGCTTTCGCTCGTAACGAGTCGACGCGATACGTCCGCGTCCGTCGAAAACTACAGCAGCTTTACCAGCTATAGCAGCGGGAAACGACGAGAAATATTAATAATAGCTGGTATATCTATTAAATGAAATTATCGCGAGCAAACGGTCGCACGCGAGCCTTGCCCGCTTGGATTTTACCGCAATTCGATCTACATATATTTAATCTAGCCCGTTGTATAGCTACGCGCGTCGCACGGTCACGCGTTCTACGGCAACGCGTTAGGAATTTCGGAATTTAGAAATTTCAAACTTTACAGATTCGAGCATTTCGGGATTCTAACAACGGATTATCCTAGTTTTCCACGCTGACGCCGGGGCCTTCTATAAAATGTGGCGAAATTTCGATATCGATAATGAGTACGTACATAAATATCAGTTTGTAGCGCACGTAACGAAACACACTGCATATTTCAACGCGAATGGGAAAATATTTTCCAGAGAAGCGTTAAAAATTCAATCTTTCGAGTAACAAAATGCTGGGGAATTTCCATAACTGGCGCCATTGTTTTTGCAGGAAACGTTACGGTGGTCATAAAAGGACGTTCGTTCGATCCGGCAATTATTGAAACGAATAAAATTTTCACTCTGTACGTAATAATAAGCGGGCGCACGAATATACCGCAATAATTACGAGAACGTGCACCGGAATCGTTGCGATCCAAATGTATCAAAAATTATTATTTCCCGGGCGACGTTCAATGACCAGAAAAATATTTGCCTATAACGAGACGCGTCGTCGAGCCGGGGACAGGATACGATCGCAATTTGAAATTCGAATTATTATAATTATGGGTTGGTCCGTTAAAAATCAGAAGACAAAGAGAGAAAAGCGGTAACCACCGCTATCCAATGATACAATTAATAAAGAGTTACATGGTAGAATGCGTCTACGAGATGAGCTTGTTAAATCGAAAATTTTCATGCGCATTAAATTAAGAATCGATCGTACGCGTTATTACGATACTAACGCAACTTGCCAATATTTCCCTCGTATTAAACGAAGAAAAAAACAGGCGTAATAATCATTCTCCGCGTTAATAGAGTATAAACGTTTCCTTTCTCGTCCTGCGGAGTGTTCTTATCAAGATTCTTCTCAACTTATCAGGATAGTTCCTTACGCGCAAGGAAGATGATCTGCGCCCGGAACGACTCGAAGAACGCTGCGAGATCACCGGCAACGGCAACGGCAACGCGTCGGCTACCTATTCGATGTATACGATATTTCTTCGCGACTTGTCAATAAAACGTTTACGAAATAAACTTGTGCGCTTGTGGTGAAAAAATGAAAACCGAACCACCTTCTATGTAACATAATACCGACTACCAAAGTGTCGACACGAAATACCGATATTAAAACGGAATTATTATTATTATTATCGCTTCTGTTGTTTAATGAAAGAGCGGTCGCGTTAACGGGCGTCAACAGGGGGGATGAAAAAGGAAAGGAAAACTGTGTGTCGTCCACGTGGTAAATGTGTATCGCGAGCAGCGATGCCAGAGAGAACGAGAGTGACAAGGTAGAAGAGAAGAGTTATTAAAATGTAAATATGAATCGACAATCTGTAAGCCACCGCGTCGCGCGAACCACGTGTGCGCTACCGTGTAGATAAACGTGTCTCGAATACTCGCGAAAGCACGATGACGTTCGTAAATGGGTTTCAACAGGAAACTTATTTCGAGGAAGTTTTTATCGTTAACGATTTCCCGCGGTCACGTAACGCGTGAAATTTCCTCGCCACTTTCTTTTCTCCGCGTTCCTTTCTTCTATCCTATCCTTCTATCTTCGTTTCTACCAGCCTCCGACATTATCGCGACAAATTATTTCTAATCGATCGATACAGCTAAGCGCGCGCGTATCTATCGGGTAATCTCGACGAAGGCAAAAATATGCTCACATATTTCAGCTATTATTCGACTCCTGTTAAATTACAGGTATTATCTCGTAATTGCCGTTTACGCCGCCGTCGATCAGGTAAGTTGAACTGGCTGTCTCCGTAAAATACGTCGAACCAGCTTACCGTTCTAACAAACTGAAAAGCACCATCTGTGCTAATACGTTACGTTCGAACGCGTCGTATACATATACGTATATGTATAATATATGCAATTTCGTTGGTTTTCAATCCCGTTAAATGTGATCGTATGGAATCGAAATCGCTCGATAAAGAAGAGTATAGCACGCGAACAGAAAGAGCGTACGTATAGTTTCCTTCGGTCGAAGCAACATTCGACAGATAATTCATTCGAGATCAGCAGATTGAGAATGCAATCGGTAGCACAAACTTCGTAATATTATTCGAATCTGGTGGAAATAAAAATTCTTCGTTGCTCTGCTCCTGTTTTTTACGATACCAACCATAAATTTATCTCCCGCTGCTTTCTCACGATCCTTCTTTTTCTCTCCGCCACGCCGACTGGCTTCACAGATTTATGGACTTATAGATTCTTTCTGCTTCTTCTTCCCCGTCCCTCGAATTCGCCTAACCGAAATCTAGCTAACCATCCATCCGTTCTTCCGTTTCTTACAATTTTTGCTCGTACCAGTACGAAAACTATTTTCGAACTATCTATAAATTCTAACTAATCCTCGACTAATCGATTAGTCGAAGCAGCGAAAAGTAGAGTATTATTCCGTCGGAAATATCTGCGTATTTTCGTGTAGCGTGCAATTATATCCGAAGAATAGTACGTATCTGGATGGAAACGCATCGAAAGCGAAATCCCATGGGATGACAGGAACCACAGGCGGTTCCTTTCCATGCCCGCTGGAATCTCATTCTTCGTCCCCTTTGCTGCCAACATCCCCCTTTTCCACTTTCTCTCTTTCTCTTTCTCGCTCTCTTTATCCGCGTTGATTGCTCTCTCGCGCCGCAACGGAGGCAGCGATGGCTCATAAATATTCAATGGCCACGCGGCCAAGATAAACTAATTAAAACTTAGATCTCGGTAGTCACTTTAGATTTTTACTTACACAAGAAGCATTTCAACGGCACGGCGGGCTGGCCGGCTGGAAAAAAAGTCTACACGAAACTGTTGCGGCCCGAACTCGCAAATCCGATTCGACTGTTCGCGACGTTGCGACGCGACGCGACTCGACGCGACGCGACGCAACGCGACGCCACGCGGAGCGGTACGACACGACCAGAGACAAACTCGCACGGGAACGAGCCCTTCCTCGCCCAACGAACAGGGTAAAGGATCGGCAAAAGGACGGGCAAAGAAAGCTTTACTCTGTACTTCTCATTAAGGAAACCACGCTTTCTTTTCTACCTTCTTTCTTTCTTTCTTCCTTCCTTCCTTCCTTCCTTGTATCCTTAACATCTTTCGAACATTCATCCTCCTTTCTCTTTTTTTTCTCTTCCTTTCTTTCTTTCGTTGCTTCGTCGTTGCTCGAACCTTAACGAGTAACTCGAAAGAAACACGGCTGAACAGAGCGCTAAACCGTTTATTAACCGATCTTTTGATAGAATCGCGGAATTTTGAGAGAACGCGCAGACGAGACTTCTTTGGTTCTGTTCGAGCGATGCAAAAGAGGCGGGCCGTTTGTCCGGTGGTCTCGTCACGCTAGTCACTCGCAACGTCGTCGGCGATCGATACGAGATCCGTGAATAATCGCGCGATCCATTATCGCTCGTCCGTTTCTTTAACGTTCTTCGTCGTCCGTCGCTAACAAAATGATTTATTAACGGGCAGGTCGCATTCGCCTTGTTTTTGCCCTCCTCGATCGAGGTTACCTACCACCTTTTTAAAAACCGTAAATTTCCTTTTCCTTCGCAGCCAGCGAGAGAAAAAGGGCTCGACCACGGTGGATAGAAAATCGACAAACAACCAGCCCTCTCGAAGACGAGAGATCGGTCGATCCTTCGTTAGAAATTCCGCGCAATCATATTCGAGCAAATAATTCGTTAGGCCCTCGTTCCGCGGCCTGTTCGTTAGTATAATTAAAATAAATTCAAATGACTTTCTTGTCCCTCGTCTTTGGTCTCGACGGTTTTCTCCTCTCTACCCCAACGTTCTCCACCCTGGTTTCTGCTTCTCCCGTGCTTCTTAAATCCGTTGATTAGCGCAACACGACCAGAGACAAACTCGCACGGGAACGAGCCCTTCCTCGCCCAACGAACAGGGTAAAGGATCGGCAAAAGGACGGGCAAAGAAAGCTTTACTCTGTACTTCTCATTAAGGAAACCACGCTTTCTTTTCTACCTTCTTTCTTTCTTTCTTCCTTCCTTCCTTCCTTCCTTGTATCCTTAACATCTTTCGAACATTCATCCTCCTTTCTCTTTTTTTTCTCTTCCTTTCTTTCTTTCGTTGCTTCGTCGTTGCTCGAACCTTAACGAGTAACTCGAAAGAAACACGGCTGAACAGAGCGCTAAACCGTTTATTAACCGATCTTTTGATAGAATCGCGGAATTTTGAGAGAACGCGCAGACGAGACTTCTTTGGTTCTGTTCGAGCGATGCAAAAGAGGCGGGCCGTTTGTCCGGTGGTCTCGTCACGCTAGTCACTCGCAACGTCGTCGGCGATCGATACGAGATCCGTGAATAATCGCGCGATCCATTATCGCTCGTCCGTTTCTTTAACGTTCTTCGTCGTCCGTCGCTAACAAAATGATTTATTAACGGGCAGGTCGCATTCGCCTTGTTTTTGCCCTCCTCGATCGAGGTTACCTACCACCTTTTTAAAAACCGTAAATTTCCTTTTCCTTCGCAGCCAGCGAGAGAAAAAGGGCTCGACCACGGTGGATAGAAAATCGACAAACAACCAGCCCTCTCGAAGACGAGAGATCGGTCGATCCTTCGTTAGAAATTCCGCGCAATCATATTCGAGCAAATAATTCGTTAGGCCCTCGTTCCGCGGCCTGTTCGTTAGTATAATTAAAATAAATTCAAATGACTTTCTTGTCCCTCGTCTTTGGTCTCGACGGTTTTCTCCTCTCTACCCCAACGTTCTCCACCCTGGTTTCTGCTTCTCCCGTGCTTCTTAAATCCGTTGATTAGCGCAAAAATCCGCTTACAAATTAAGCGAAGCTGTCTGCCGTGCCACCAAACTCCCTCGAGGATGCCGAAACCTGCACCACCCTCGAGAACAATGGAAGCAAGACGTCGCGCCGCCCCGGAGGGAGAGAAAGAAAACTGACGGAAAAGAAAGCCGCCGAGTACTTTAATATCTTAAGTAAATCCGGTGAGTGCCGGCGAAGGGGGGAGAGAGACAAAGGGGAAGAAAAAATAAGTGTTCGCGGAAGAGAGCCTTCGTAGGTGACAGTTGCTCCGAACCGACTCGTAACTACGGTAATATTACATATAAAGCAGTTGCCCTTAACAGCCTTTAACGCATAGAAGCGCGAGTTGTGTTCGCTAACTGATATTTGCCGAAGAAGCTGGATCCGCGTTTCGAATCGCTACCGTATCATCGTTACAGCTACGATTCGTTTCGAGGGCGACGATTTTCTCTTTAGTCTTTGCTCGATTCTTCCGTAGTGTTTTCCGTTCGGTAGCCGCGGCGCGTTTGTCGTCTGTGTGCGCGTTTCGTGCGATACGCTGTGTTATCGTTTGCATTGCAAATGGCAACCCACCCCGCCCACATTCAAAGCATACACCGGGACCGTGGAGCGTGCACGTTTTATGGTGAAATCGGCCGCGTGTGCGCCGATATATCGAGTCCTACGCGGATGAGTCACGGGGAATCGGGACAACCCTAACGATGCCCTCTTAAGGGGAGCCTGCTCTGTCGAATTTCGACACGTTTCACCGACTTTTCCAATTATTTTTTCTCGAGTCGTACGCTAGTATCGTCGACGAGTACGAACTATGCACTCGTATACCTGCACGTATCTCCTTAATGTTATTCCGAGTATACGCTGTAAAGACACCGATAGCGGACAGCAGGGGCCGTCAGGTAGGTTAGAGCGCGCAACTAC